AGGAGGGTGAGAGAGCATAATCAGAAACAAAATTAGAAATAGGGTAAGTACAAGAACGTTTATCCTTTCGAAGAGCAATGGGGCGATCATCAAGCGAAACAATAGCTTGAGAAGGCGGAGCTGGTGCCGAAGGAACAGGGCAGTCGATTGTGGGAGTAGAAGCTTGTACCTGTTGTCTCCGATTATAAACCTGTGAAAAAGGAACAATTCCCCCTGCTGGAGGGGTATCACGAGGAGGAATTATAGAAGAAGAAACAGGTAATGGTAGAGGAGTTGAAGACGGAAGAAGGTGATCATCCATTATATTCAATGGGAACCATTCACTCTGAGAACCAACTGAACCACTATAGTATGGTGTTTGCTCAAAGAAAGAAACATCCATGGATATAAACCGCCGACGACTGGGAGGATGGTAACACCTATAACCTTTTTGAGAGTGAGAATAGCCCAAAAACACACACTTCAAAACCTTGGGGTCAAGCTTTGTACAAGTTTGCCCCAACTGCTGAACAAAGCACACACACCCGAACACTCGTGGAGGAATCAAAAATAAAGATGAATTGGGATGTAAGATTGAGAGTGGGGCTGCAAAGTTAAGAATCCTAGAAGGAGTCCTATTAATGATGTAAACAGCGGTAAGAACTGCATCTCCCTAAAATGACTGGAGAACATTCATGCCAATGCAGATTGCTCTGGCTAGGTCAAGGATGTGGCGATTCTTTCTCTCAGAACGACCATTCTGTTGAGGAGTTTTAACATTAGCCAGCTGATGCGCAATCCCAAATTCTGTACATAACTGTTGTACCTCCCCATAAGTATACTCTGTACCCTGGTCAGATCGGAATTTTTTAATGGTACGACCAAATTGAGTTTGAACCATTGTCATAAAATTTTTAAAAATGGTGTATACCTCATTTTTGGTTTTCATAAGATAAACCCAAGTAACACTACTATGATCATCAATGAACAACACGAAATATCGAAATCCAAGACTAGAAGTAACTGGGCAAGGACCCCACACATCTGAATGAACAAGATTAAAAGGTGTTAAAGCAGATTTATTACTACTAGTGAGATAATTGGAACGAACATGTTTAGCCATATGACATGTTTCACAGGATAAATCTGACACTGCCACGTTACAAAATAAGGAAGGAAATAAATGTTTCAAATAACCAAAAGAAATATGTCCTAAACGCATAAGCTGGGCTTTATTAGATGAAACAATATTAGAAAATGAAGTTGAATGTGTTGGCGGTGACAAAGGAGCATCCAACAGGTATAAACCGTCCACTTCACGCCCACTGCCAATCGTCCGTTTCAACACCAGATCCTGAAAAATACAATGAGAGGGAAAGAACGTTACACTACAATTTAATTGTTTGGTAACGCTACTAACAGAAATAAGATTTGTAGTCAACTTTGGAACATGAAATGTATTTGACAAAGTTAATGAAGGAGTAACTGATATGTGACCCTTCCCAGCAATGGAAGATGGAGAGCCATCCGTAAGGCGGACCTTGCGTTGGCTAGAGCAGATACTATAAGATTGGAAGAGTGAGGACATACCAGTCATATTGTCTGAAGAACCAGAATCAATGATCCATGGTGTTGAAGATGTAGATACGCTATATGCAGACGCAATAGTACCTGAGTGGGCATAAGTGGAGGTTGGCTGAGATGATGCCTCCATTTGGTTGAAGAATTGCTTGAACTTGTCCAAATCAGCTTGAGTTAAGGTAACTGTGGCAGAAGATGTAGAGGCAGGGTTGTCAGGAGTTGACAACGAGACTGGTTTTGTAACAGAATGTGCAGAGGATCGAGGCTGTTGTTTCTGTTGCGGTGGACGTCCATGTAGAGCATAACAACGAGATTTGATGTGACCAATATTTCCGCAATGGTCACACCGTCCACGTTGTCGTCCCAGAGGAGGACCGGTGGTAGTGCTCTGAACTGACTGGGATGGTGAAGTTCCTGAAAGGTTGGGAATCCGAACTGCCATAGCAGAATGATCAGCAGAAGCAACACCTAATTGATGAGTCCGGAGGCTCTCATCTGACAACACATAGGAATATGCATCCTCAAGAGTAGGGAATGAAGATAAGCCCAATAAATGAACACGAGCATACTCAAACTCGTCGTTCAACCCGGCAAGAAACTGAAACACTCGATTCTTCTCCACAATTCCTACATATAAAACTGCATCATCTGGATCCTTCCAAGAGTGGAAGGAATCATAATATGACATTTCCTCCCAAATAGCACGAAGCTTGGCGATGTAACCTGAAACTGTCAAGTCACCCTGAGAAATCCTGGTGATATCTCGCCCTAGCTGGAAAATTTGTGCATTATTCTGCCTCTGAGAATAAGTGCGTTGAACTGAATCCCAAATCTGCTTAGCACTCTTCATAAACATATAGCCAACAGCTATGTTTGGTTGCATCGAATTGACTAGCCAAGATATAACCATAGCGTTATCTGCAAACCACTGTGGATATGCCTTCTCTGACTCAGCTGGCTCTTTCTCAGAACCAGTAATATAGCCAATCTTGCCTTTGCCACCAATGAACATCTTGGCAGACTGTGCCCAAATCAAATAGTTGGAACCATCAAACTTCACTGTGGTGATTTGAAGTCCTGGATTTTCTGATGAGTTGGTGGGAAAAATGGCACCACCACCCACAGAACGTGAGCCAAGAGAATTAACAGTCGAGGACCCTGAATCTGCCATAATCTGTCACACGACAATAAAAAGAACTCCAAAAACACCACAAATTCTGTTAATAAATCAAAGGGTCTCCTCAGACCATAAACAATGTCTCCTCAGACCATTCCCGAAAAATCCAAATACATACCTTTTTTAAGGAGCGCTGCCCGCTTACATATGGCCAGACAGCCTCCTTCTTAATATTTGGAACCTCTTTGTAACTAATTTTTTTTTTTTTTTACCTTGGTGTTGGAAATCAATTATCCCAATTTACCCAACCCTAGAAGAGTGAAAAAGAAATTGTAAAACTTAAAAATACCTGTTTTCGATCACAAAACAGCAACACAGAAAAACATGTATAGGCAACGTCACACGATGTCACAAACTGCCTAAGGTAGTTGTCGCACAAGTAGCAAGACTGTTGAAAGGTGTGGAAAGGTGTTGGCTCTGATACCAAGTAGAAATATATAAAAAGAAGAGAAAAGAGGGAATTGCGTAAAGGCTTGAATGAGATGAATTACCCATTTATAGCTTTAGTATTTATAGATAAAATGAGCACATGCTCATATTACAAGAAATGAAACTAAATCAAATCATTGCATATTCTATGCCTAGACATATGCGCAAATAAAGTCAAATGCATGATTTGTGGCTATCATATCTCACAGATAATATGGTAAATCACATCCCATGATTTGGGCCTATCATATCTCGGCTATTATGGTAAGTTATATCATAAATCGTGGTATCATAAATGCTAACAGTAAAATTGGCGTACTCAATTTGAGAGCCTGACTATCATTATATACAAGAGGAAAATTACAAGTATGGAAAGAGAATAAAATCAAATCAGAATAAAGAGAATAAAATAAAATCAAAATAAAAATAAAATTCCTAAATATTATCCTATATTGAAGACCCAATAAATCTGCCACAATCATTGAGTTAACTTATGGATATGATTTCCAACAGGGACCTTATATGATAGAAGAATAACAAATAATCAATCTAGATTTACACTAGGGAGATCCCCAATGGAAGCTATTTACTTACAGTTGAGGAGTGTATGAGTAAAGAAAAAAGAATTAAATATGGTCTTTATATAGACTTGGAAAAAACACATGATAGGGTGTCGAGAGATGTAATTTGATGGAATGATAAAGAAAACGAATTTATCTTGAAATGATAAAAGATTATTCAATATAAATGTTGAAGGATTTATATATTTAAGTTACACCCTCTCTAATAGCTTAAGCTTTTGGAGTAGATGGTTGTTAACAATAAGTATATAAATACAAAAACTAGCGTTCACACTACATCTGGTGAGACTAGTGATTTTTCTATAAATTTGGGATTGTCCTAAGTCCATATCCATATTTATTCACAATAATATTAAGATGAAATCACAAATGGTTTGCAAGGGAATATTTTGTGGTGCATGTTGTTTGCCGATGACATAGTAGTACTATTGGACACTATCAAGGAAAACTTAGCAATAAAATTAGAAAGGTGGATAATTGTGTTAGAATCAAAATATTTGAAAATAAGTAGGACTAAAACAGAATATTTGGAATTAAAATTTAGTAAAGAGTTGGATATTGTGAAACTGAACATATGGAATGCAAATTTAGTAAAGAATTGGATATTGATAATATAATGACAATGCTTTAAAGCCAAAAGATTAAGTCAAAGTGACCAATTTCAATACTTGGGGTCAATAGTACAAAAGGATGGTGATATAATTTGTAGAATTGGAGCAAGTTGGAAAAAATGGAGACTGGTTAGTGGGACTTTATGTGATAGAAGAATAACAAATAAAGTAAAAGAAAAATATTATTGAACAATTGTCGGGCCAACTAGTTTGAATGGTTTAGAGCGTTTGCGCCTTAAAAAGAAACAGAGAAAATGAATTCATGTAGTGAAAATGAGGATCTTAAGGTGGGTGATTGGGGTGATTAGAATAGATAGGGTCCTAATAAAAAACATGAGGAAGAAATTAGGAGTGACACCTATTAGTGATAATTGATAAGACAAGAGAAAATAGAAAAGAATGGAAAAAGAGAATTCATGTGTCCAAGTGCATTCATATGCGATAGGGTCACTTTTGTTTTACATTGTTATTGGTCGTTTGACTTAGTTGGCATGAGTAGCGTTACTCTTATTATTACCTGAAATGCAATCTTGTATTTCTCAATTTCAGGGCAGTGTTAAATGCTAATGTGGTTAGAATTTTCTCAATCTTGGGGGTCTTGTATAACATATCAATAAAAATAATCTTGGGAGTCTTGTATAGGTATTGATGATAAGGCAACCTTAGAGGGTCCGATTGAAGAAGTGGCCAGGATGGAAGCTGAAGAGGCTGAGGACATGCTCAAACACTTGGGAATCCCGGTGCAGTCACCCACCTACTTTTCAATAATTTTCCGGCATTTATACTATTTATTTCTTTCTTTCTTGGAGCATGATTTACAGGGCATCTTTAAATTCCTTTCCAAGTGCACATGTCCTTTGAATTGCTTTAACATTGTCCTGTCAGAATCGACGAAAAAACTCAATCATCTTTTAATGAGATCACACATTTCACTTCTGGAAGCCTTAAATTTGTGCTTACTAGTGAATGAATATATAAATTCCCCCCAACCAAAAAGGCTCAAATTCCTTGCATGTTTTCGACTTTGTTTTTCCCACCTGGCTTTTTAGCAAGTAAATGTAAGCATATTGAAGTTACATGGAAATGATTTAAAGTGACCTTTGTATATTTACCTCATATATGGTGATGAATATGAACTTATGGCAATAGTTTTTTTTTTTGGCATAAACAAGAGCAGGTGTTTCAATCATCCGTTACTTCTTGAAGTGTCTGTTATCCTCCACAGATCGTTGATATCTAAATAGTTCCATCTCTCGTATTCCAATTTTTGCATGGCCACCCTGTCATACTTTTTTTTTTTCTTTTTCAGCTAAACTACTTTTCTCAATTTTCTAACATTAAAATTGATTTACAGGGTCCTCTGTCTTCAAGACATTCTCCCCGTGGCATATTTTGTAGCCGCACATTGAATCTCCGATCAATCAGTGCCATTGGCTATGACATGGACTACACCTTGATGCATTATAATGTGAAGGTATAGATCAGATTGTCTTTTTACTTAATTATTATATCAAAGGGACGAAAAATAGTCCGTTATCTTGCTTTATTTTAGTGCTGCATCTGTGGAAGCAACCTATATGTCTCTTGTTTGAGGATTTAAACATTAAAATTACGCCCTCTCCAACAGCTTAAGCTTTTAGAGTATATGGTCAGCCTTTCACTTTGGGAGGTGAGAAGATACCGATGGGATACAACCCGTGTTTTTATATTATTTTTTAAATACAAAATGCAAAAGATGTTAGAGAGAGTGTAACTTTAATATTTAAATCCTCTAACATCTCTCCTTCTGAGTTGTATGTGGCTACAATTACTATGAAAAATCTTCATATATCATGAATACAGTTTACATTGCAATTTGTTTTCTATGAGCTATGCATGCGTCTGATTTTCTTTCCTTTTTGTTTTTGGCATCTTGTATCATTTTGGAAGTGTATTACCAGATGTATAAACATATTCTTTTTTGGGCATGTTGTGTATAAACAAGTTAATATGCCCAATTCTCATGAGAATATTTTGAAGGAATTAGTGAAGCTGGCAATAAACCTAGGAACCATATACTCTCTCACAATTAAGCAGATTTTATTCAAACACATTATAGCACCAAACCCTCCCCCCACTCCTTCCTCCCTTTCTCTGATGATGAATCTAAGCATTCTGCATACTTAACAATATCAGTAGAATTATTGTATTAGGTTCTTTAGCTTGAAAAAAATTATTTTATGTCATGCTTATATATCGATATTCTTTTCATGGGATGGTTTAGAATTGTTTTGTTATACCAGTTCGATAACTAGAATTCTATAACTTGGATTCGTAATCTTACAGGCATGGGAAGGACGAGCTTATGACTACTGCATGGACAATCTAAGAAACATGGGTTATCCAGTTGATGGACTTGCTTTCGACCCAGACTTGGTAAATTTTTTACTTGTAGAAACTTAAGTGTTTTATGTTCATGACCTGTGAAACCTGGAAAATATTAGGGCATTTTGCTCATTTCTAATAGGTTATTAGAGGCCTTGTCATAGACAAAGAGAAAGGCAATTTGGTTAAGGCAGATCGATTTGGTTATGTGAAGAGGGCTATGCATGGTACGAGAATGCTATCTACTCATGCTGTGAGGTATGGTTGAACATTGAATTTTATCATACTGTGAATTATGGTGAAATCTGAATTAGCCAGTGTGTCAGTGATAAAACATGGGTCAAATGATGGACGTGCAATGTGTGTGGCCTTCTTGCTGCTGGAAACTAACTTTAAGATGTTCTTAATGAAAATCAATATACTGCTTTGCCCAAAAGTTGTTTTCAAATGCTCACATCTTTGCTTGTGCATATATATCATGATGCTTGGCTCTGACAGAATGCCCTAGCAATCTAGTTTATGAGAAATCTGTTTTACTCAACATTTTTTAATTTGATGTGTTCAGTGAGGCAAAATTTGGGTAATTTTTTCTGTAGTGCCTCTTTAACTTTTTTTGCATGGAAGTGAGATGTATGGGAGAGAATTGGTGGATCTGCGGAAGGAGAGTCGATGGGAATTCCTCAACACACTATTTTCGGTTTCAGAAGCAGTGGCTTATATGCAGGTGATTTGTGCATTTAATTTTAAGCTACTACATAAACATCATACTCTTTCTACATAACATTATAAGCATTTACTTTTAAGCTACAGCATAAACATTATACTCTTCAATCCTCAACCTCCCACATGAGAGGAGGAAATACAACCAGAACTAGACCCTTGGTGGGCTTTTGTGTGTTTTTTGCAAAGAAAAAGGGAATGAATTCCTTATCTGATGCATGCTAAAAATCATCTATCACTATGAAAAAAGATTGAAATTCTATGTTGATATGCCCTTGCCGATACACATCAAATATGCATGTGTGTTGAATGTTTGACAGAGCAAAAGACTTGGACACTTTCTTCTAAGTTTACAACTTGCACCCAATTGAGTGTTTGTCTGATATTGTTGGACCTGCATCTTTGAGGTTTTGAGTGTGAACTGATGGTATAAGCATATTTTTACAAGACTGTTTGCCTTCTACTATTATCATATTGGTTTACAACCTCTATACAGAGACTGTAGGGTCTAATGCTGTATACTTTGCTGAACCAAATTTAAAATTTCTATAGCTTATTCACTCCATTCCTCTAGAATTTTTCCCCCCCTAGTGCAGTGATATTAGATAATTACGTATATATCATATCCAGAGTGCATTTTTAGTAACAGGTTGAATTTACTTAATGCCAAATTTTTCACTTTCAGATGGTTGATAGATTGGATGAAGGAGCTATAGCAGCAGATCTTTGTCCACTTGATTATAAAGGGCTTTACAAGGCAATATATATGTATATATATTAAGGAATTTTCATTTGGAAATTTTTAGGCATGTACAAACTTTAACTACTGGCACTGTTTTCAGGCTGTTGGGAAGGCCCTCTTCAGGGCACATGTAGAAGGACAGCTTAAGGTAAATGGTTTTACAAATGCTAAACTTTCTTATGTTGCATTTTACAAGCATCGTTTTATGAGTGGTATTTGTACAGAGTGAGATTATGTCCAAGCCTGAACTGTTTGTGGAGCCTGATCCAGAGCTACCTCTGGCACTTTTAGATCAAAGGGAGGTAGAACTTTTAACTGTCATTTATCTACAACGTATTAATATTATTCGAAGTGTCCTTTTCAGGGTCCAAAAGAATAATTACTCATTTTTTATTTACTTGGGGATTCTGTTGCATCAGGCTGGTATAAGACTATTGCTTATTACCAACTCAGATTATCATTACACAGACAAAATGATGCGGCATTCCTTCAATCGATTTCTTCCAAATGATATGAGCTGGCGAGATCTATTCGACATGGTTAGCATACCCCCTTCTTATGTTTATATTATAGTCCACTTTAAATTCTTTCTTATTTCTTTGTACCTTTTTGAGGTATCAGCTGAATGATTGCTCAAACTGTGCCTGTGTTATGTTTAGTGTCTTATCTTTACCCAGTCAGTCCCAAGACAAGAAAATGGAGGAGGGTTGTATTAGGTAGGTTGACAACCAATGTAAAGCTTCGGTGAGGATTAATATAACATGAGCTAAATGATTGCTCAATTTTGAAACAGAGGAGTTGGGTTAAAAATCTCATCGTTCTAGAAAACATATTACAAAAGTCTTCTCTTTAATACCTTTATATTTCATCACTACCACCACCATCATCATCATCTGCATTGCCTTTATGTAGTATGAACGGGGTTGGCTACATCGATATTCTTTTTCAATCCTTATATTATGGTTATGCTTTCTTGTTGTCTTGGATTGATTATTGTGGAGTAATTCAAGCCTTGATAGAATATTGATATGAGTGATTTATGGGATTGATTATAAGAATCCTATGTCAATGTATTTTTCATTTTTCTCATTTGTATTCTTTCACCTATAAATAGAGGTGGTCATTATAAACAAAACTAACAAAGAATATAATAAAAGTGATGTAGCCCTTTGGGCTTTGTGTGCCGTGGATGTAGGCCGTAGTGGCCGAACCACGTATATCCTTGTGTTGTTTCATTCTTAATTTATCTCTTCAATTTTTTTTATTTTTTCTCAGCAGTTATATCTATCCATTTATAGGCTGGCCGAGTGTTGACGCTGCTTACTTTTGCAGAACTCGCTTGAGCGGGCCTCCCAACCACCAACTGCTTATGAAATATATATATATCCATTTACACCAATAAATATTTATTTCTTATTGTGTTTGGGAAATGACAGTTTTTGAGATTACCTGTATATTGGAGGTACTTGTGACAGCCTCAAAATCACGTATATGATGGTTATGCTGTCTTGTTGTTCTTGGATAGGTTATAGTCTCTGCAAGGAAGCCAGAATTCTTCCAAATGTCACACCCAATGTATGAAGTTGTCACTGGGGAAGGTCTAATGCGTCCATGTTTCAAGGCTCGTCCAGGTAGTTCATGATCAGTGCCTTAGCCTTTCTGCTTGATAAGTCAGTATAGTTTACATTTCCAACGAAAATAATTTGAAATCTTTGCCTTCTGATGCTCTCTCAGCTGAACATGTTAGATTTGGTTGGCTCAAAATATAAAATTATGTGGCTAAACCTCTCTTTTTAGGTGCCATAACAGTTCTGGTATGGCTTATGGTGTCTTTGCAATTTGGGTCCTCCTAGTTGAATCCACAAAGTTAATAGAAAATTTGCAGAGAAAATTTGATACTGTATTAATAAGTGATTGAGTGATGCTGCTCTCTGCAGTACAATTATTTATAATGAAAGAAACCCTAAACCATAAGGAAACTAACAACGTTAGGAAACCTTATAAGGAAATCTAATCTCAAAAGGGTTACACAAAAGTAACCCTAAAAATCAACTTTCTCAAAAAATTACGAAAAAATAAAATGAGAAACCTAATCACTAAAAACTACTAAATATTAAAATTCAGAGCATTCCGAGTCCGTTTAGGCCACGAACAAAAATCTCGAAATAATCAATTGGCCTGCTATAAGACAGAAAAATGGGGTTTTGAGGCCTTAAACGATGGAATTTGACCCAAAAAGGGCATACGCCACAGCTTACCTGTGAGTATTGCTCGTTGGCCCGTTCCACTCACTTCCTTTCGGGTCCAAAATGGACTCTTCCCCAAAAAATGTGTCAGCCTTCTAGTTTGGCCATCTGACGGTCCAAACGGTCTCTGAATCGACAGCAACCCATTCTACATCAGTTTTGATTTCTTTAATTGTTCAAAGAACTTGAGAGCATACCACCAGCATATAATGCCTTTCGCCATATAATTTTGTTGTAGATAATATAATGTTCTTTAGTAAATTCTGTTGCTGTATTTGTAGCTTGTCTGCCATCTAGTTGATAACATGATCTATTCAATTTCTATATTCAGTATCTTACCTTCTTCTGCAGGGGGCTTGTACTCTGGGGGAAGTGCTCAGATGGTTGAGAATTCCCTGAACATTCATGGTGATGAGATATTGTACGTTGGTGACCATATATACACAGATGTAAGCCAATCCAAAGTTCATCTTCGATGGCGAACAGCATTGATTTGTCGAGAATTGGAAAAAGAGGTTGGCTATTGTGATTTTCCCTTTCATGCTCCGAGTTTGATGAGAGTTGGACCTAGGGGCGGGAGAGGGATTTTGTACTATCAATTTATTAGATTTCCAGATTTTAACTGTATTTGAAAACTCTGTTGCAACAATCAGCATAGCTAAAATATATAAGCTATAAGAAAATGATAAAAACTCAAAACCAAACTAGAGAGCACGGTTTTATTTTAAAGTAATGGTGAAATACTACTATATATTGTGTATTATACAACTTTCTTTAGATACTTTAAACCATTGATTGATATGTAATAATAATCCAACTTGTTTGAATTTTGCATCCTTGTACATGTCAATGCTAACTACTTTTTCATTTTATCTGCTTCTAAATTATTATTATTTTTCTGGATAAGTATCTGCTTCTAAAATTTAAACTGCAGTATAGCGCTTTGATTCATGGTCGAGGTCATCGAGCTACATTGATAGAGCTTATAAATCAGAAGGAGGTTGTGGGGGATCTATTTAACCAACTCCGGCTCGCTCTGCAAAGGAGAACCAACGAGCGTCCTGCTCAAGTAAGCTTTGCTGCATGATATTATTGCTGTTCTCCTATTTGTAACTGTAAAATAGATACAATTCTAGAGAGAGAGAGAGAGAGAGAGAGCAGATGGATATGAGAGAGAGTACAGAAAAGAGAGGCACAGCCCTCTGGTTCTCTTATTCATAATAACCCTAAACATAAAAGGGTATATATAAAATACAAGAAAGGCCTATTTGCATATTGGCCACAAACCCTATATATAATTACAATCTGACCCCTACACTAATATATATTTACATATGAATGTTCTAACACTCCTCCTCAAGCTGGAGAATGTATATCATATAATCCCAGCTTGGAATAAATCGCCTTTAACCGATTATGACCAAGAGCCTTTGTAAACATATCAGCTAATTGATCTTTAGACTTCGCAAATGGAATAGAACTGTTCCCACTCAATATTTTCTCTCGAATGAAGTGGCAATCACCTTCAATATGCTTGGTCCTCTCATGGAACACGGGATTAGATGCAATGTGGACAGCCGCTTGGTTATCACAAAATAATGGAATAGGAGCTTTAACCGTCAGCCCAAGTTCCTCCAGGAATGTTGTATACATGTCAACTCACTAGTGGTATGAGCCATTGCCCTGCACTCGGTTTCAGCACTAGACCGAGCTACAACCGTTTGTTTCTTACTTTTCCACGTAACTAGATTCCCTCTTACAAATGTGCAATAGCCCGTAGTAGACCTCCTATTTGAGGGAGATCCTCCCTAGTCAGCATCTGTAAAACCTGCCACATTAAGATGACCATTAGATTTATATAGTAATCCGAAACCCGGAGCTTGCTTGAGATATCGAATAATTCGAAGAGCAACATTCCAATTTGGTACTCTAGGAGCACTCATGAATTGACTTACAACACTAACTGCATATGAAATGTCAGGTCGGGTGATAGTGAGATAAATTAATTTCCCAACCGGACGTCGATATCTGCCATGCTCGTCAAATAAATCACCCTCCTTGGGTAATAGTTTTATATTTGGATCCATAGGAGCATTAGCAGGGCGACTACCTAACATACCTGTTTCTTCGAATAAGTCCAACACATATTTCCTTTGAGATAGGCTTATACCTTCCTTGGATCTAATAACCTCAATACCCAAGAAATATTTGAGTTTGCCTAAATCCTTAGTGTGGAACCGATTCTGCAAGAACAATTTCAACTTTGTGATGCCAGAATCATCACCTGTTATAACAATATCATCTACATATACCACAAGAAATATAAAGCCAGTTTTAGTATGCTGGTGAAATACCGAATGATCTTTCTGGCATCTGTTAAGGCCGAAGGAAAGTGCCGCCTCGGAGAAATTTCCAAACCAAGCCCTTGGAGATTGCTTAAATCTGTACAGGGCCTTCTAAAGGCGACATACAGCATAACGAGACTCCCCCCGAGCGACAAAACCAGGTGGTTGCTCCATATAAACCTCTTCATGTAAGTCACCATGTAAGAAGGCATTTTTCACATCTAATTGGAACAACGGCCAAGTACAATTGGTGGCAATGGAAATAAGGATTCGAATAGATGAAATCTTCGCAACCGGGGAAAAAGTCTCATCATAATCAATACCATAGGTTTGGGTGTATCCCTTTGCAACAAGGCGAGCCTTCAACCGCTCAACAGACCCATCATGGAGGTATTTGATCGTGTATACCCACTTACAACCAACAGGTTTGGAACCGGGAGGTAAGGGAACAAGATCCCATGCCCCATTATGACGAAGAGCATCCATTTCATCTATCATGGCTGTGGTGGGTCATAGTTTGATGACACAACAAGCAATGGAAGCAACAACTTGAAGAGAAATAAGGAGTGTCCTCAAAAAAGGTAACGTCCATGCACACAAAAGCACTACGAGTTTTAGGATCCCAACATTTATAACTCTTTTTAGTTCGAGAGTACCCGATAAAGACACCCTTAATGGTACGAGGATACAATTTATCAGTGCCAAGGTGTAATATGTGAGCAAAGCACACACACCCAAAAACACGAGGAGTCAATGCAAACAGCGGTCGAGTAAGAAAAACAAAGGAATAAGGGCATTTCTAATTAAGAACAGAAGATGGCATATGATTAATTAAATAACAAACAGTTAAAACAGCATCGCCCCAAAATGCCTTTGGAAGATGCATATGGATCATCAATGCCCGAGCTATTTCAATTAAATGCCTATTTTTCCTTTCAGCTACACCATTTTGTTGGGGAGTATAAGAACAAGAAGTTTGGTGCAAGATACCACGAGAGTCACAAAAAGTAGAAATATCACCTTTGACATATTCCATAGCATTATCAAATTGTAAAGTTTTTATAACACAACCAAATTGGACCTCAATTTCTTTTAAAAATAATTGAAATATGGAAAAAAGTTCAGAACGGTCTTTCATTAAAAACAACCAAGTCATCCTTGAATAGTCAGCAACAAAGGTAACAAAATAAGAAAAACCTGATTGACTAGTGTGACGAGCAGTACCCCAAATGTCCGTATGCACCAATTCAAATAAAGAAGACCGACGATTATCAATACGAGGAGGGAAAGACACTCTATGGTGGTTACTTAGCTGACAAGACTCACAATTTAAAGTAGACACCGACTCAAGAAATGGTAATGCAAACTTCAAGTACCGCAACGAGGGATGACCTAACCGATAATGCCACTGGTATACCGACATCTGGGAATGTAGAGCAACACCACAGTGCAAGGTTGGCAATCTAAATAGTATAGGCCATTTCTGTTAATGCCCCCACCAATCATCTTCTTCGTGTTGAGGTCTTGAAAGACACAAAACAAAGGATAAAATGTGACAAAACAATTGAGTGCTTGAGTCAGTTTACTTACAGATAATAAATTAAAGGGAAATTGTGGAACTAATTGCACAGAAGATAATGAAATGGATGGGGTTAGTTTAGTTGTTCCCTGGCCAATAATGGAACATGTTCTACCATCAGCCAAAGTAACAAAAGATGAGGAGTTAGACTTCTAAAAATTAGAAAATAGAGATTCATCACTTGTGAGATGGGTAGACGGCCTAAAGTCAACAACCCAAGGGGAGGCCGAAGTTTGTAAATCGGACAAGCATGCAATATTACCTAATTGCGCAAAATTAACCATATCAGTAGAGTTGGGATGCGTCCGGTTGACCAAGGCACTTAACTCAGCTCGTGATAGTGTCACACTGTCACTAGTAGATGTAGGTGATGGCAATATAGAAGTCTGAGAAGGCGGGTGGTTGTAGTCAAGAGAGGGATGAGACCCAGCAATGTCAGAGGAAGACAGTACTTGGTTTGCCCATGCTGGTTTCCCATGAAGAGCCCAACAGTGCTCCACAGAATGGTTAGTACCCCGACGGTGACTGCAGTAGCGACCCTCTGTTGCTACTAAGAGTATCACTGACTCTAGAGAACTGTGGAGAGATAGAAGGAATCATCATAGCTGAATTTTCTTTCATAGTGGACATCCCATGTGATTGTTCAGAAACCTGAAGTAATCGTGCATAAATGTTACCCAAAGATGGGAGTCCTCCATCATCAGCAAGGATTTGACCCCGAATATTTTGAAGCCTAGGATCTAAACAAGCAAAAAAAATGGAAACATAAAATTCCTCACGTTGTCGCTTGAGAACGGCAAGATCAGTAGTCAAGGGATGATACTGATTCAACTCATCTAACAAGCTTTTGAAAGCACTGTAATACCCACCGATGCCTTGACCAGATTGACGAGAACGGAACATCTTCTCATACAGTGAATATATGTGAGAAACATTGGTGTCCATAGAGTAGGTTTCTTTAACTGCATCCCATATTCCCTTTGCAGTGTTTACATGATCAACATAGTTGTAATTTGCAGCTCGACATGATCAACATATGTTGCAGGAGATTTACTTCCAATAGACTGAGAAGCAACAGTTGAAGTTTCCGACATGCATTTAATGCCACAGAAATAGATAAAGCAACTGCTGAAACAAAATAAATGTATATGAAAACTGAAAAGAACTTATCTGTCCCAAGTTAAAGTCACACTAATGCCAAATCTGTCCCGAGAAGAACCCAAGAGAAACAAAAAAAAGAAACTGCTGCACCAGAGAAGGCCAGAACAGAACCGAATCGGGAGCAGAAGAAGAAAGAAGAACAGAACAGACCCGGATCAGGGAAAACAGGGTCGAACCAGACCGGATCTGTAATCGGGTCGGATCTGTAATCGGGTTTCTACAAAACTGGTTTGGGGGAAAACCGGTCTAGACTAACCTAACTTCAGTGGCCAAACACCCCAAATCCCGTAGCCAATCACCCCTCTGCTTCTTCACCTTCAGTCCCAAAATACGGTTCAACAATAACAAGTCGCAAATGAAGAAGCCAACCACAAAAAAAACAGTCGTAAAGGGCGACTACACAACCAATCGACACTGGCGACAACAACGCAAACGGTCATCGATGAAGAAAAATGGCAACAATCAGCGACCGCGGGACTAGTTCGAAGCAAGAGATTAGTAATCACAGTGAACCACCTAACAGCGAGGATAGCCTCACGAATCGGATCTCTCTCGAAGCTAGTACACACCCTAGCCAACGATTACCCAACTCGTAGAGACAACGGCAATGATCGTCGCTCTGATACTATGTAAAATAGATACAATTCAAGACAGAGAAAGAGAGAGAGTACAGAAAAGAGAGGCGTAGCCCTTTGGTTCTCTTATTTACAATAGCCCTAAACATAAAAGAGTATATATAAAATACAAGAAAGGCCTATTTGCATATTGGTCACAAACCATATATATAATTACAATCTAACCCCTACACTAATATATATTTACATATGAATGTTCTAACAGTAACTTTTACCTTGTTCAGTTTTGTCCTCCCATAACAATATCCCATTCAACCTGCACGGGTGGCACAGGGGTCTTTAGGGCCGGACTATAAACTCAGACGTCTTGTGTTCGATTCTCACAAGATGCAAAAACACGTGGTTTAAT